CCTCTTGGACGCAGTCCTGTGCCACGTGCTCTAGGTGACCCTGCGTGTGCAGGGGTTTGGACTAGATGACCTCTAGAGGTCCCTTCCAACCTTAAGCGTTCTATGATTCTATGATCTCCCACAAGCCCCGCTCACCTTGAGGTACCGCCGGCGGTTCACGTAGATGTGCACGAGCGACCTGAACTTGATGAGCGTGTGCCTCAGGTAGCCACGGGCCCGGCTCTGCAGCAGGACGATCTTGCGGCGCAGCGAGCGGAAGCGCCGCTTGATGAAGAAGGTGCGGGCGTAGCGCTGCAAGGTGAGCGCCGCCAGGTGATGCGCGCGCGACCGCTTGCTCTCCAGCGCCTGGTACAGCTGCTCCTTGAGGAAGAGCTGCAGGAGCGATGCCGTGAGTCCCGGCATCCCCGCGGCACCCCGCTGCCAGCCCCGAGCTGCCCTGGTTATCCACCGGTTCCTGGAGGCCCCACAGATCATTGAGCCCTCGGGGGGCTCCTTAAACACCCACCGCCGCAGAGATGGTCACCTTGCTCACACCGACATAGTACATGCTGGGGGTGACGGGGCAGAGGTTCCTCAGCATCTCCACACAGTTGGTCCCATTGGGAATGACGTTGGACCACATGTCGACAAGGCAGCGGTACCTGGGTGATGCCCAACACTTTTATGGGGCTTGTGTAATCCCAGCTGGAGGGAAACTTCCTACCATCTGCCTTGGGCACCTTCCTGGGGACATCTGCACAGGCCTGTCTTAGTGTCTTTAGTCTCTTAGTGATTGGGTCTACGTCTGCAAATGTGGCTGGACGGGGCTTGGCAACCAAACCTGGGGGGTCTCCAGCTCCACACCACTTCCATGGGAGCTCCCTGTGTCAAACACTGCCTCCAAGGTTCCTGCAAGCTCTTTGGTCTTTCATCCTCTGGGTGGTGGCACCCAACCTGTCTCTGGGGAACCTCCATCCTCCCTGAGTCCTGCAGGTGCAGGGCACCACGCCGCGGTACCTGTCGATGAAGACGAGGAAGGGGATGCGGATGGGGAAGCCCTCCTTCCGGATGCGGATGGTCTCCAGGATGCCCGAGTAGCGGAGCTGGCTGCTGACGACGTCGGCCTCGAAGAGCCCGGGCTCCTAAGCGCAAAGGAGAGAGGCGCTGAGTCCGGCGCGGAGCCAGCGGGGCCTTCCTGTGGTCACGTGTGTCTCGTCTCACCTTCTTGTTGTTGGGTTTGAGGCAGCGCACGAAGAAGGGATTGCACCTGCGTTGGAGAGACGCTGTTGGCATCGGGGCGCGGGGATGGAAGTGTCCCCTGCCGCCTCACAGGACAGCTCAGCCCGGATTCATCCCTCCCTGCTGCCCATCTGCACACTGACCCAACGCGGCTCCTGCCTGGCCTGGCTGCACTGACCTCTCCATCTTCTCCACCAGCTCCAGGAGGGACTGCTGGAACCTGGCAGCCACGGTGGGGGCCTTGTAGCGCCGCGTCCTGGTGCTGCTCCTCCCCACCAGGCTCTTCTGCCGGGCCAGCACCTGGGCATGGCCGAAGAAGAGGTTGGCCACCACCTTGGAGGGATGGGAAGGGTCACAAAGGAGCAAGGTGCAAGGCTCCTGAGGGCACAGCACCTTCACGAGCCTCGTGAGCAGAGCCCTGAGGAGAGCAGAGGTGCCCACAGGCCGGCGTGTGCACAGGGACCGAACTGGACCAGAGGCCCAAGGAGGGGCAGGTCCTACCTTAGTCCTGCTGCTGATGAACAGGTCCAGAACGTCCTGCCGCACCTGGTCATAGTTTTTATCCAAAAACTTGTGCACCTGGCAAACAGCAGAGCCTGGCATTTAGGAGCTGGGTAAACTGCCATGTCAGCAGTTTCTCTAACCTACCCTTTAAACACCACTCTAAAGGCCAGGGCAAACTTCTTGCCACCACGTACCTGGTAGGTCACCTTCCCTGCATAGTGTTTGATGGTGAACTCCGGCAGCGGCATCTTTGGCTTGGTGTACAGCGGGTTCGTCCCGTGGTGGTAGTGACACTTCTGGAGGAAAGTGTGGTCCGTGGCCTGGGAATGGGCACAGGAGTGAGGGTGGAGGCTCTGAGACCCCTGTCATGCTGGTTGGCAGCTCCGGAGGTGCCCGCTTTGGGATGGGGACACCCATCCGGGTGAGTGAAAGCAGCGTGTTGTGCCTCCAGCTACACCAAGTGACGGGAGGAATTTCTCCATGGAGAGGATGAGTTCCTGGAGAGGACAGGTCGCTGCTCACCCCATAGGCCAGGAGCGTGGCCCAGAGCACATGGAAATAAAGGGTGAATGAAAAGGAAGGGAAATTCACTCCAGCCAGGGCTGCAAGCTGGAAGGAGCAATCACAGCCAGGACCAGGGTCTGGGTCAGCCCCTGCTCTCAGTTCTGTCACCAAACAGCCGCATGGTCATGAGTGTCTGTTTCGCTGTGCCTCAGTTTCCCCATCAGCAGAGAGGGTGCAATCACCCTGCTGTGGTTTAGAGAGCAACTGGGAGTTTTATCCAGTAATTCCCACAAAAGCAGATCCTCTGAGGAAAGTTGCACCAGGGACACCGAGCTAGGACCTCTTGGAGGTGGTGCAGCCCGGGGAGATCTGGTGGATCCCCCCACTTCACCCAGCACAGCCCAAGAGCCGAGCAGCCCTGGGACACGGGTGACACACCAGGCACAGTGATACCCCAGGGACACCATCCTCGTGTGAGGCAGCACCTCACCTGGGGGAAGCAGCTCTGGTCATCGAGGATACGGAGGATGCCGTAGGGCTTTTGGGAGATGAGGTCGATGCAGGGCTGGTTGTCACTGAAGGGGATTTCCTTCCACTCGATCTGCTCACGGATGTACTCCTCCTGCAGAGCCAGCCAGCTCGGTCATCCTGGCCGCACGACCAAGTGCCCCAAGCCCCAGGAACAGGCTTTTGGACACCCCAAAGCCCTCAGCTCCATGCGAACTGCTGAGGACATGGCAAGGGGCAGACCAGACATTGGGGACTGCTTGTGCTCCCACCTGCTCCTCCTGGAAGACGATCTTGTTGAAGAAGAACTGCAGGTACTCATTGGCATAGTTGATGCACAGCTGCTCAAAACTGTTGAAATTGAGATCCTGTGGAGAGAGGGGGCCATGGTGCTGAGACCATGCAGGAGCCAGCTCCGAAGAGCCACAGTGGAGCCCCGGTTCCTGCCGAATCCATCCCTGCAGCTCCCGATGGTTACAGGATGCACACAGAGGGGTGCAGGGAGCCCCGGGAGAGATGCGGCTGGCCCCGCTCACCTCAAACCCGTAGATATCCAGGATGGCGATGGAGAGGGCCTCTTGCCTGGGGTACACCAGCTTGTTGATGCGGTCCGTCAGCCAGCCGAAGAGCAGGGAATAGAGGGTCTTGGCAATGGCATCCCTGGGAATGGGAGGGAGACGAGAGGAGCGTTGGCTTGAGGAGCTCCGGGCAGGGAGCTCATAGCACGTCCCTCGTCCTCGCTGCCCTCACCAGGACAGCCCCATTGCTGAGCAAGCCAGCCTGCAAGCCACATGCCAAGAGCCCCGACCTCCTGCTTCCCACCTGGCTCTGCCCCTTCACCTGGCATCCACGGCGCTTTCCACAGTAAGAGGGGTAAAGATCTTCTCCCGCAGCGTTTCCTGGTTTGGGGAAAGCGAACGGCACAGAGGAGGTGTCAGCAGCAGCAAGAACCCAACCCCGCCACGCCGTCACGCTGCGGCCACCGCGGCCGCTCGCCACGCGCTGCCGCCCACTCACCGTCACCTTGAAGGTGATGGCCTTCTGCAGCCCCTCGGGGGAGATCTGCAGCAGCTCGGCCACGGTCTGGATCTCCGTGGCGCTCACCACCGTCGCGACCTCCTGGCAGTCCGTCTGCGAGGCAGGGGGTGACATGGAGAGGAGGGACGGTCACCCGGGGTGGGGGAGAACGATCTGTCCAGGGGCCCCTCCAACGTGGGATGGCCACAGGGCCGAGGTGAAGAGCAGCCCACGGTGCTGCCCAGTTCAGCTGGGTCCATTTCACTGCCCACCACAGAGCCATCCTGCAGGGCCAGCCTGACCTGCTTTCCTGCAGTTGCCATGATGTGTCTGGATTCATCTGTATCCCAAGCCAAGCCAGAACACTGGCTTTGATTTAATTTTGTAATGGCAAATTCAAAGCCTTTCTTCCCTACAAACCTGAAATGTCAACATTTTCCCATGGAAAACTGCAAGGAGATTCAGTGTTCCTCTTCCTCCAAAAAGAAAAAAAAAAAAAAAAAAAAAAAAACCTCTGGGCAAAAAGGCCTCTCTACAGCCACAACATTTCCTCATGTTGGGAACTGGCCAAAACAGTTGTTCTGAGGATGCTGCACGCAGATGTGGCAGAGAAGTTGCTGCATTTACTCCCCAGTTCCCCTCAGTCCAGGGCTGAGAGCAGCTCAGCAGCCTCCTGCAGCTGAGGACCTCTATGCATGGGATGTCCCTCTTGTCCTTGCCCCACTCCAGGGCTGCCACCAGCCCCATCCCCTCCCTGGTACCTCGTATTTTTCGAAGTAGACATTGCCCAGGTGGAGGATGGAGGACAGGATGCGGAAGATGCTGTTCTGCTCCTCAATGCTGAAGCTCAGGACCTCCATGGTGTTGAGCAGCCGTCGGAAATCCTCAGCATCATCCTTGCCGGGGATCTCGCAGTTCCCACCCTGGCGGAATCCCATGGAAGTGCCATCAGTCCCGGGATACTGCAGGGACCCTGGCCAGCTTCCCTGCACCGAGGAGCCAGCTCGGGAGCAAGGACACTTTGCTCTGATGCCTGGAGCATCCTCCCCACCAGCCTGCGGGTACCCACGGGGGCTTCATCCCAGTCCCAGCCATCCCACGTGCGGGCTTGCAGGGTGGGCGACCTACCTGGTTCAGGTAGTAGTAGGTCTCGGCGCCCTGCAGGCAGTACTTCTGCCGCTGCTGGGCAGGGAGGCCGGCCAGCATCTCGTAGAAGATGTGGTGCTCTGATGCCTGGAGCATCCTCCCCACCAGCCTGCGGGTACCCACGGGGGCTTCATCCCAGTCCCAGCCATCCCACGTGCGGGCTTGCAGGGTGGGCGACCTACCTGGTTCAGGTAGTAGTAGGTCTCGGCGCCCTGCAGGCAGTACTTCTGCCGCTGCTGGGCAGGGAGGCCGGCCAGCATCTCGTAGAAGATGTGGTAGTTGCGCTCATTTTTGGCCTGTGAAGGAGGAGGCTGAGCCGAGGCAGGGCGGGCAGAGCCCGGGCCAGCTCAGCACCCACCTGGAACACCACGCGGGACTTCTCCAGCAGGTACTGCGAGGTTATGGCACCACAGATCAATCCACTGCAGGGATGAGACAGGGAGCTCGGCTTGGCAACCTTGGTGCAGCCAAAATTGCCACGTGCCCCAAGCTGAGCCCTGTTTGCTGGGAGCTCAGGGCTGTGCCCGCCCCATGGTGCTCACACCCAGCTGGAGCTGCTGCACCCGTGGTGGAACTGGGCAGCCCTCTGGCATGGCCTGGTGCCCACACTGGTGCCCTATGGACAGGGGAGCATCTATGGGGCAAGCAAGGGCAAGACGAGCCTTGGGGCTTGTTGGAAGGTCAGGGGTGGGGGACCATGTGCAGGACCCATCATTTCTCCTAGTCCTGGCATGAGGACATGGCCACAGCAGTGTCTTGGGCAGGGGACAGCAAATGCTGCATATGCAACATCATTGTGCCCAGCCATGGTTTCCCCCATCTGCATTTTGCCCCTGTTGGGGCAGACCCACGTGCGTGTCCCACGGTGGCCACGGTGGCTGCCAGGCAGAGCCAAGGGGATGGTGAGGGGCAGCCCAGCAACAC